CAATCTCTTCTTAGGCGGCCGTCTCCAACGGGACAAGACAAGACTTTGTCAGAAGAGAGCACAGCATGCTCGGCGTCAGTTGATGATGAACCCACCACAGAGCCAGCTGTCGTAGATAACGAGTCGAAAGTGGCGGGTGAAAGGACACAAAATTGTGACGATGCCGGTTTGCAAACTGCTGATGGTAGCAGCTTAATCAGCCGCTGGGTTGAGCGTAAGTGCGATTCACGTGGAAGTCCCGGGACGACTGAGAGAACAAGGATAAAACCTGTTCAGGAAGTGAGTCCTGATACTCGGGTAGACTCACAAGATTCAATATCACCCAGCGTTGATCAGGAAGAACAACCGACCGATGAAGAGTTAGCCGAGGTTTCTGATCACGTAGCGAATTTTCGGGCGCGCCTGAAAGTATTGAAGGATAGGAACAGTGATGACTCTATGGATACACATGCACTACCTGAGAGCACTTCGCCAGAACCACTGATTCCGGCTCTAGATCGCCCAACTCGAACAACGGATATCAGCTCTAACAAAGCCTATCCGTCTTCGTCGGCGAAGCGGGCCGCGCCAGAAGTTGCTACCATCACAATAGGTGATCATACTGTCACAAGCATCATTGGCTCAGCACACAAAAAGCAGCGGCTTGACAGCCAGCCGAGCCAGAATCCATCAATACGAAAAAGTTCCAAGGGATCAGTACCTATGCCTTCATTCAATGGACGGCTGACCCAAATGTTTGCCGCACAAGCAGAGCGGTCGCAGTCTGACAAGAGGGAAGTCATCGCTACTACGAGGCTGCAGGATGACTCGCAACACTCGGATTCGGCCAGTGACAATTCATTCGTAACTGACAACTCCGAAGGAGAAGGCGACGATGAGTGTCGGGCCGATTTGCCTCGTAGAGTGAAGGATCACGAGCACCCTTCTACGGAAGACTTGCAAGCGGCTGAGGCAATTCCTGGTGAAGATTCGGGGGCTGCGTCCACATCTCTAGATGGCCCTGGTGATACTGAATACAGAGAAGAATCTCAAGAAGCCAACGAAGAAAACGAAAATGTCAGGAATAATGAAAGCGCTCAAGTTCTTGAGGAGAAAACTTCGGACGAATCACAGAAACGCACCCAGAGTTTTATTAAAGGTAGCATCAAGAAGAAAGATGCGACCTATCCTCTCCAGCAAACATTGCGCGTAGATGAAAGGCTCATCCGCGATGCGTCGGCTTCGCGCCAAGGGCTCCTATCTCTTTCTTCGTCTATTTCAAGGACAGGTATGCTAGAAACAGACCGCCTTGATGCTGACGATGCTGAAGAGAAGCTATCTTTGACTATCTCGAAATCGGACTTCGAGAAGATGAAGATCATAGGGCAATTTAATCTAGGATTTATTTTAGCCTCCCGGGCAGCCAGGGGCTCACCAGGGGATTCAGCAACCAGCAACGATAGAGACGACGAGCTATTTATTATTGATCAACACGCGACGGATGAGAAATATAACTTCGAACGGTTACAAGCTAGCACTGTCGTGCAGTCTCAGAGACTGGTTCACCCAAAGATGCTCGAGCTGACGGCTGTCGAAGAAGATATAGTACAACAGAACATTGATGCTCTGGAAACGAACGGATTTTCAGTCGGCTTCGACGACAGCGGCGACCAACCTGTCGGAACCCGGTGCCAGTTGCTTAGTTTGCCGCTGAGCCGGGAAACTACTTTCTCCCTCGCCGATCTAGAAGAGCTCATATCGCTCCTCCAAGACCACCAGTCCGCGTCAGCCAACACGGTCCCGCGGCCGTCCAAAGTCCGCAAGATGTTCGCGATGCGGGCGTGTCGAAGCAGCGTAATGATTGGGAAATCGCTGTCCCTGAAGCAGATGGAGAAGCTGGTCCGACACATGGGCGAACTGGACAAACCGTGGAACTGCCCGCACGGGCGGCCGACCATGAGGCATCTGTGCGCCCTAGGGGCGTGGGATGACCTGGGCTGGAAAGAAGGCGATAGGCTTGATGGCGCTGGGACATCGCGTACTGATTGGAATGCTTATCTTCGTCGAGAACGGGATCTGGAATAGAAAACATGTTTTTGATATATGTATCATACTTACTTGTACTGTTTGGAATTGCTCTTGAGGAAGGGCACACATTTGTCATATGGATAGCTCAGGTACTTATACATACCCCTGGAGACTGTAATAATACTTAGACTTACGCCTTGTGTGGAAATGCGATGCCGGCTATTGCTTAAGCTACTGCTTGTGGTGGAGTCCTTGCACAAGACCTCTATTTTCTCTGTAACATTATACACATTAAGAATTTTACACATTAATAGTTTTCCCTGGCATACGCACAGCCAAGACACGGTTTGCCTTCCCAGTCTGTATCGCTGGAAGAAACTACGAATTATCCTCTTCATTTTGAAGATTACTTTAACTATAAAAACCGTGGTCATCGGGAAGGAGTGACCTAACTAAAGCTATTGTTTGACGACACTGGAAATAATTATACTACTTGCATGCTGTGTGTTTCACCTGTGTCGGGGCCCGATGTTTAACGTTCGGGCTGGGGCGCGTCGGCCGTCCAGTATGTTAATTAAATGGGATTTCTAGCGAATGATCCGGTTGGATATCATACATAAAACTAGGCAAACTAATTCCTCCTTGAGAGATGAATGTATGCGCTAAGATGCCCAGCCCAGCAATGGTTAAGGGCCGCGGGCATTAGTTTGTGTGGGTTCGGTCGTCGATACTCACCGAGGTCCGCAACATATATTTTAGCTTATGCGACGAGCTTTCGATGGCGCTTGAATGGGCGTGAAGTCGGCGTCAAGTTGTAGGGTGGGAATGCCGAGAGATGAAATAGAATGAGCAACAATTGTACGCTAGCGCCAAGAGGATTCGAGCTTTTCAACTAGTTTTCAGCAAGAGATGCCGACCCCGATAATACCTTAGTAATTGCCTTGAGGCTGTCGCTAGCAAATAGTGCAGATGTAGTCGTTCATTCGTAGGGTTCGATTCTGGGCTCCAATAGGGTGTCGAGACTGTGGTTTTAAACAGCGCGAAAGAGTGCATGTAACTTCCACAACCCAGGGTAAGAGCTCCGAGAAAGTGAGCCCGCGCCCGTCGACGGCTATGTAAATTACACATAATATCACCTAACTCCAGGTGTTTTATCTACGTTGTATGCCGGTTATGTGCTGTCTTTTTGTCACGAATCGTACGGACCGTCCAGTAATTTCTTATCCCGTTCGGCCTTAGCGACCGGGATAAGACATAACGGGAGCGGACCGCAGTTATCGGGCAACGGGGTTAACACAAGCGTTGATCTAGCCGCAACTTATACCCGCTTTGCCATACTGATATTATAAGCAAGTTGCTTGGATATGGGACAACCAAGACGCCGTTTGACGATTCGTCCGTGAGGTCGGCCGCGTCCATGACTCGGATCAACGAGGGGCATGTCGCGTGATGGTCCTTCAGATGAACTATAAAGTCGCTGGCGGCCGCCGTGGAAAAGGAATACGAAGAAGACAATAGACATCGACTTCAGCTTCAAGCTTAAGATAAACAGCCTCGATCCAGCCTTACTCCTATATCCACCGTCGCCTCTTCTGAAAAAGGAAGAAGGAAAGAAACTCATATCTACTACCATTATTATTCCTCTGTTCAAAGCAGTCACGATGTCGTCTAACGCCTCGCTCAAGCCCATCACCCTCTGGGGCCACAGCATCGGGCCCAACCCGATCAAGGTCGGCATGATCCTCGAGGAGCTGGGCGTCCCCTACGAGTTCAAGACCATCGAGTTCCCTCAGATGAAAGAGGAGGCATACCTCAAGCTCAACCCCAACGGCCGCGTGCCGGCTATCGAGGACCCGAACACGGGCCTCACTCTCTGGGAGTCCGGGGCCATCGTCGAGTACCTCATCGACCAGTACGACAAAGATAACAAGATCTCGTACAACACGCTTGCCGAGAAGTACCTCATCAGGCAATGGATCGCGTTCCAGATTTCTGGTAAGAAGCTCCACCTCTACCTACTTTTCCTTTCCCATCTGTTCTGGATATATACAGACATGGAGAGAGAGAGAGAGAGAGAGAGAGAGAGAGAGAGAGAGAGAGAGAGAGAGAGAGAGAGAGACAAATCATATCTCGCGGTCTGACCGATCATATCATGGCTAACACGAGGCGATATATAGGCCAGGGCCCGTACTACGGCCAGGGCGTCTGGTTCCTGCTGATCCACCCCGAGAAGATCCCGTCGGCCGTGGACCGGTACTTCAACGAGTCGGAGCGCGTGCGCTCGGTGCTGGACCTGCACCTCTCGCGCCAGGCGGGCGAGAAGCAGGGCGCGAAGGTCGCGGACAAGGACGTCTGGCTCGTCGGCGACAAGTGCACGGCCGCGGACCTCTCCTGGTTCATCTGGGAGCAGATCATCGACTTCACGAGGGAGGTAGCGTCGCGGCCGATCGAGCAGGTGAGTTTGATTTAAAATAAATCTCTGGTCTGATCTGATCTGATCTACCTCGTGCCCGTCTTCGAGCCCTTTCTCTTTCCCTTTTTTCTCTCCCGGTTCTTACCTAGTACCCCCCGTATCCTGAGATATTTCACTGACGTTCTGAACAGGGCAAATATCCTCACTACGAGGCCTGGTACAAGAAGATCGAGGAACGCCCCAGCGCGCAGCACGCTATTGACATTAGGAAGCGGGGTCTGGCTAACTTTAAACCACCGCATCCCATGGAGGTGGAGGAGCAAAACAAGCCTCAGGAAGCCAAGTAGAGCGATGAGAATATATGTGGTGTTAGGTACTTCTTACTAGATTGCTACTTCGATGATCCTTTACTTTGTATTCAATATTATTTCTCATCTTTTGACGATGTATGTCAACAACCTCTTGACCTTACATCAGCTTAATCTCCACTACTAGTTCCGGATTTAAAACTTGCCTAACTCGGCCATGGTGGTTCACTACCATTGTATACAATTTCCTGCAGCTGTTGCACGTTCTCATTGGGCCTGTAGCTCAGGGGTAGAGCGCTCGCTTTGCACGAAAATGAAATCATGGTGGAATGCTCATGGAATCATGGAATTGCGAGAGGCCTAGGGTTCAAATCCCTACCGGTCCAGAACTTTACTTTTTAACAAATCATCTCCTTTATATGTCCATAAACACTGATTCTTTTTTATATAATGAATGATAATAATGTAGAAAAACACCTGGATTCTTCCACTCATTTATTTAATGCAGCATGTGCATACTTTTTATGCGGTCAGTGACTGGAATGGATAAAGAACAAGCAATGCGACAGGCAAGCTGAGGATGCCCCCCCTGTCAAGACGAGGATAACCAAGATAGACCGCGCTCCTCGTGCTCTGAAACAACCCATTAGTCAGTCATGTACCCAGATAATGTTGGAGACAGCCAATCAAGATTTACGAGTTATTAATAAATGATCATCAAATGGGGATTTGTGGGTTACATCGGCGCTAACCACGCCGGCCACTTTATCTAGCAGTACGAAATAACTTCGAACACATCAAGATAATATCGAGATGGTGCCTGGATCTCCAGCAACTTGGACCAAAACCTCGTCACCAACTACGTATCTAATGCATTGTATTAATGTATAAGTAATTCCTAAAATAAACAACATTGCCAGATTCTATCCTAAGCTTTACACTCACTTGGCGGGGTTTATTAGTAATATTTTTGGTATTCCTTGTTTTTGCCTTCAAGGCCTTCTCCTCCTTGTACGTGACATCTATTACAGGGTACGAAGACGGCGTAGCGGAGGCGTAAGTTACGTCTCACACAATTTCACTGCCAACAGCATCATATTATCTCGCTACCTACTAGTACGATGACGCCTCACAGTCTGCAGGATGAAGGTCCCACCGACCTGGAGCAGAAGCTGAGTGGCGATGATGACATCCGGCCGCCGTCCCCACCCCCGATGTCCGCCACACCTCCGCGGCTGCTGGTCATCGGCGCAGGATCTCGCGGCCGCACATACGCCAGATGCTCTCTCCAATCGAGCAACGGCGTCATCGCCGCTGTTGCCGAGCCGGACGACTATAAACGCCAGGACTTCGGCTCTAAGTTCATATGGGGCAAGACAACGCCGCCACCGGATGGGTCTAGTTTTAGGGACTGGAGAGAGTACGTTGCGTGGGAAGCAGATCGCCGGCGACGGCAGGAGTCGGGTGAGGCAGTGCCGGAAGGCATCGATGCCGCCTTTATCTGCGTGCGAGACGAGATGCACCACGATGTGATCATGGCCCTTGCACCGCTGGGCCTTCACATCATGTGCGAGAAGCCGCTTGCCACCACACTTGAGGACTGTACTAGCATATATCGCACATTGGCGCCGCTACAGGCGACGAAAGTGTTTTCCATTGGACATGTGCTGCGCTACTCGCCACACAACATGATGCTCCGAAAGCTGCTTCTCGAGGACAACGCCATCGGCGACATACTCAGCGTGCATCACACCGAGCCGGTGGGCTTCTGGCATTTCGCGCATAGCTATGTGCGTGGCAATTGGCGGAAGGAGTCTATCACGGCCCCGTCACTCCTCACCAAAAGCTGCCATGACATCGACATCCTCCTGTGGCTGATGTGCTCCCCCGCGCCCGGATCGGACGCGCCCGAACATCTACCGACATCTGTCACGTCCACCGGCGCCTTGCAATTCTTCCGAAAGGCCAGAAAACCCAAGGCAGCGGGCGATGCGACCAACTGCCTCAGCTGTCCTGCCGAGAACGAGTGCTTGTACTCCAGCAAGCGAATCTACGTGGGCCCCAAGCACCAGGGCGTCGAGACTGGTAACACTAGATGGCCGATCAGCATCGTGCTTCCAGACATAGAGAGCTTCGGCAGCGACATGGACAAGGCGAAGGCGGCAGTGCTCTCCAAGCTCGCCGAGGACTACGATAGCTCGACGCCGCAGGAGGCCATCGACGGCCAGAACTGGTTTGGCCGCTGCGTGTTCGAATCGGACAACGACGTATGCGACGAGCAGGTCGTGGTCATGACGTGGGACGACGACCCGCTGCCACATTCCAGCTCGTCCGCAGCAAAGGACGCCCTGGGTGCGCGGGGTGCCAAACAGGTGACGTTCCACATGATCGCGCAGACCAAGAAACAATGCCAGAGATACACCTACATCTACGGCACCGAGGGCGAGATATACGCGGATTCCAAGACCATCACGGTCGAGGATTTCCGAACGGGCGAGACTCAGACATATAAGCCCAAACTAGAAAGCCTTGGGCATGGCGGCGGCGATCACGGACTTACGAGGCAATTCGTCCTCGCTGTGGACAGGGTCAAGAACGGCGGGTGGAAGGCGGAGAATGCCCAGCGCGAGTTCATCGGATGCAGTCTGGAGGACATCATCCGCAGTCACGCGATGGTGTTCGCTGCCGAGGAGGCACGGAGAGATAGGAAGACTGTGGATTGGAAGTCTTGGTGGACCAAGAACGTTGCCGTAGTGTAAAGCCGTCTCTCGATCCACGAAGCATGTGCCCCTCGCTCTATCACTAGATCGCGGTGGCGAAGCTGTCACGATACGGGATGCAGCAGGTCGTTGCGCCGAAATAAGAAGCTACCCCGGAATCAAGTCTCGAAAACGGCGACACCGTGCTTGGGGGATTGCATTAGGGAATGCTAGTCCCGAAGCACCGGGCGCTTAGACTACCTGAAGAGGACCCATCCTCTATCTATTTCTGTCTACTTACACATTGTTGTCTTTTGAGCCCGCGGCATGAGCGTTAGCCGAGCCTCAAATCAATTTCGGTGGCGTTTTCTGCTCGTTTCCTTTTTTCGTATCCGTTTATTTATCCCCTCTTGTAATTCGAGGCATGTCATTGTTTATTTTCTGGCCATTTCTTTTGCGCATGGCTATTTCCGCTCACATCTGTGTGCTGCTTGCGTATTCGGTTTTGATTGCAGGATACATGAGCCGAGGCATCGTGTATGGCAGTTCGTAGCTTGACATCAATGAGGTTAAATCCTTCTCGCCCCTCTTTCCCAATCGTGGGGATCGACGAAAAGGAGCTGCTCGAAACAGAAGCTCCCCGCAAGCGTCTAAACTAGGGGCCCCAATTCGTAGGCCGTCTAGCCCATAACTCGTCTTGAGGCCGCATACACGTTGTTGGTCTATTGCGTGCGAAGAAACACCCGATGTCATCCCGAAGCTGAGCTTCGGTCCGTCGAAATGCCGGGGCTGGCCAGTCTGCTATTTCCGGACATCACAACGCTGGCTCGCGGGGTGTCCGGAAGGGAGCTAGCCGGGGCGGGCGATGGCTTCTTTCCCTTCTTGGACTTCGATTGTTCGAGTGTGGTTACTTACACAACGAGGCGAGCTTCAACGTTACTACGAGGGCGAAGAATCACATGTTACATACGAGGGGGGTATGATGGCATGTAGGATCTGGCAATGCCGTTAGCTTGAAACAGGTGGGCGATGACATATGATGATCTACCTTCCTTGTTTGGAAGCTCAGAGCTGCCGAATACCCGTAATTAGATACACGATGGTGGATCAACATCGGGCCTCGTAACCAGTATAAAGAACCCATCGCCAGTTCATGTCCGCGTCGGTAGAGAGAGAAGGGTTGTCGCTCCACGCAATTCCGGTCTATCTGCGCACGAGAGAAAAGATGAAGTCGTCACTGTTCAGCATCTCCGCTTTCCTGTCCCTGGCCTGGGCCCAGGACCTCTGTGGCCAGTACAGCTACTACTCGGCTAATGGGTACTACCTGAACAACAATGCGTGGGGACAGTCCGCGGGCTCGGGGAGCCAGTGCACGCACGTCGACATACTCCTGAACCCGGGCGTCCAGTGGCACACGGACTGGAACTGGTCCGGCGGCAACAACAACGTCAAGAGCTATCCGTACTCCGGACGCGAGCTGCCGACTAAGAAGCTCGTCAGCAAGATCGGCAGCATACCGACCAAGGCCGAGTGGAGGTACCTCGGAGACAACCTCCGCGCCGACATCGCGTACGACCTGTTCACGGCCGCGGACCCGAACCACAGCACCAGCAGCGGAGACTACGAGCTCATGATCTGGTGAGAAACGTCTCGCTTATCTCCCTCCTACCTCCTACCTCCTACCTCCTAACCAAGACTGCATGCACATCTACGGATGGCTGGGTCGTTTTGGCGAGGAGTCTTCAGTACTAACCAGAGATCAATAGGCTCGGAAGACGAGGCGGCGTCCAGCCCATCGGCAGCTCCACGGGATCCGTCAACGTCGCGGGACGGACCTGGGACCTGTGGGTTGGGTACAACGGCCCGATGAAGGTGTTCAGCTTCGTGGCACCGGGCGACGTCGCCACCTTCGAGTCGGATATCAAGCCCTTCTTCACCCACATCACCAACACGCAGGGGTTCCCGGCGTCGCAGCAGAACCTCATCAGTAAGTACTCCAGCAGTGCCCCCTGCCAATCCCCCGCTGCCGCCACACTGGCACCTGATTCCTAAGACTGGTTCTGACGCCTTTGTGTTTAATAGCATTGCAATTCGGCACGGAGCCTTTCACTGGAAACAATGCGCGGTTCGATTGCTGGTACTTCTACGCCGAGGTCAACTAGAAAGTGGTCTAGGCCGTGGATGTGTATATTTGACACCTAGTATGTGTGAGCGAACGATTATTAAAGACTTTAAGTGGCCTTGAGCCCAGAGAAATTCGAAAACACTTAATCTTCACTGGAGTGATGACTCTTTTTGCACTCCACGTATATATGTGTGATGATTTAGTAATGCTAGAACTTGATATGCTGTGGGCTGACTCCAGCTGTTAGCTACTTTGATAGCATTAAGGGCTTAGTTGATTGATAACTTCGGTAGGTGTCTTCTGGACAGAAGGCCATCTAGTGACGTGACACTGTCAATCGGCGCCAGCTATAGACGCTGTCTATTGACGTCGACGCTATCTACCTTAACTAAAGGCAGGATCGCATTCTAGATACTTAGGTAAGCATCCCGTACATCTGCATACTCAGAAGCTTCCACGCCGATCGGCAGTCCTCTGGCAGAGAAAACATGAGATGTACAGTTACGAACTGTCGATTTACCCGCTCAAATATTAACCTTCAAGCGTAGCTCACATATGCCGA